CTCCCGTAACAAAATCTTAGAAATTTACGGTGCTTGGGCAGAATTGGGATGTGCAGGTAAGCCTCCGTTAAGTCAATTGATGCAAAGAGGTCACCTTCCCGCACCCCTGCCAGAATGGAATGCAATGAATGCATTTTAAACTGGCGGTTAAGGCACTTTAGGTCTAGAATTGCTCTCCAACCCTCTGAGGCCTTAGGTATAACAAACAGAATAGAATAAAACCCCTGATGTAATTGGTCGTCCGGAACTGGCTGAATCGCCCTGATGTCCAGGAGATGTTGTATAGCTGAATTCATGAGGGCTTGTCTGTCTGGATTACGAGACATTGGGCAACGAATAAAGAAACTTGGAGTGGAGAGAAATCCTAGAGCTAAGCCAGACCTAATGGTCCATTGTACCCANTATCAAATACATCCATATCTTCAGTTGTAAATTTAATCTACCAAAAGTGATCAAAGCAGAACTTAAGTCACTACCCAAGTTTCTTCCCAACAAGTGCAAATTAGGATGAATCCAATTAGTGTTCAACTGAATCTTTTTCTCCATTGGCATTCTGATGTCTTTCAGAGCATTTTGATAAGTGATATATAGGATTAGATGGCTTATTTTTAAAGCAAACGACAACTGGAATGGTAAACAACAAATTCAGAAAAGAAAAAGCAGGAGATAGGTTGCAACCATTTTAATCTGAGTGTAGTCTAACTTCCCACAAAATGTCACCCCGCTTCCCAATATTTAATAAAATGTTGATAAAGTGAAGGCTGGTTAAGTGACTCAAAAGGTCTTCTTTACAATCAGTGGCCTTTCAGCATTAAAAAAAAAGACATTTCATACAATAAATGAAAATTATGATTTAGAAAGCATAGCATACATTCTCATTATCTGAAAGATTTTACAAACCCTTTGCATTTTTGTACAGCTCTGCAGCAAGGTAAACTATTCAATTTCTGAATAACTTTTACACATCACATTACATAAATATATTAACATCTGTGCGCAAAATTAAACTAGAGAATATATAATTGGCGACAAAAAGATGGGAAAATACAACATACTGTTAAAAAGATAGCTTCTGCTTCATACAGGTCTTAGAATGAAGATACTTTTTGTATTTACATGCAAAGAATACAGCGAGTGATCAATATTCGTGATTATGGAACTATAGCATGTTATTTCATGATCAAAATGTTATTTAACAGGGGGAAAATCCATATAATGTACAAAACAATAGTGCAAGAAGAGCTTCAAACAACTGTTCTCTTCGTTTTTGAGCTTTTGGTTAAAAACTATACATCTGACCAAAGATGCTGCTGTGAAACTTCGCTTTTACTCCACAGGTAGATTAAGGCACATAATCATTTTCAAAGGTTGGTTGGTTCTTTATGTCAAATATGTTCCAGTTTTCACATTTTCATTTTTAGAAACCAATCAGGGTAAGGAATACTATTTTTAATAAATTATTTTGTAAAGACATAGTAGATGCATCTTTTGACTGCTAGTGTACTGTTAATAATAAAAATGCTGTTGGCTTATACAAATGTTAGCCTTGTTGGAACACAGTTCTATTTGGAGTAAACCATATCAAGTACACAGATGCCATTTAATTATATTACAAATATTTTCTTTTTGAAAAAAGTGTGGCCTCTTTTTATACCTATTTAAACAGCAGTCACAATTTTGCTTAATTTTTTAATTTTTGAAGCAGAAAAAAGCTAAAGCTTGATATGTTTAGAGAGAATGTTAGTCAATCCCTGATACAGGAATTAGTCAAAAGTTGATTCCTTTATTTTCAGTAAAGTTAGATACTCGTCTCTAAAATTATAATGTCTAACTTTTGGGATTCTTTTTACACATTCCAATAGTTTTCATGCCTACACATTGCTTCTCTTGCATGATGGTATTCAGGTTGGGACCTGCTGGATTACCCCCAAGTCTTTTAGTTTCAACAAGATGAATGCACCATGTACCTTCTAATCAAGGCTTTGGCCTTCTGTATATATCCTAACAGTAATGGGTGTGAATTTCTTCACAAGTTCAGATTCTCAAACCTTTTTTAAGGTGCAGAAGAAAAGGGCAAGGGACAGGTTTGTGTGTTTATATATCATCCCCTCCCAGCAAACTGGACAGTTCACTGGAGCTACAGAATCACAAATGAGAGGGCTTGTGATAACTGTTTCCCAACCGCTCCTTCCTTCTCCCCAAATGCTCCAAAATATACCAAGTGCACAAGAATGAAATATGTTTGACAAAACCAATCTAAGATCTTCTGCATTATACTTCCTCAAGGGATTCTTTCTAATGCAGTGTTATAGGTAAAGGGGAAAGAAATTTGTCAACGGTTCTTAGGAGTGAAGCAATCTGCTTTGTTAAGCATAAATACCAAATATATTTTGTTCTCAGCATTTTTAACTCTAAAATCTGACTAAATGGCTGAGCCCTTCATGCCCACAAGAGATCCAAGTCCAGCCCACCTTGAATTCCTGTGACTATTATCAACTGCCAATTTGCATGGGCATTAGTAGTTCAGATTCTTGTAGAGATGTTTAAGCGTGCATTAAAATTTTATACCCTTTTGAACTGCCTGAATCTCCTGATTTCACTGGTGCTTGACAATTGCTCAATTTGCAATTCTATTAATTATACCTCAATAATAACTAGCCTCATCTTTCCCATTGTATGGCTGAATTTTTGTAGGAGAGAACAAGCGAACAGTAAGTTGTTTTTTGCTGATTTGTTTGGGTGCCTCATCTATAAATAAATCAACTATATATAGACAGTTATTCAAGTGCTAATTCAGGGATATCAGATAGTATGCCTGTACAACTGTACAATTGAAGCCCATGATAGAACCAAAGAAATAGAAAAAGTAAAAGTGTGTTACACTGACTGCCATGGAATGACTTTCCTTTTTATTAGAAAACATCAGACAAAGCCATAACTTATTCAATAGAGCAGGGGTCCCTAGCCGAGGTGGTGCAGTGGTTAGGGTGCAGTACTGAAGGCCACTACAGCTGACTGTTATCTGCAGTTCGGCGGTTCTAATCTCACCAGCTCAAGGTTAACTCAGCCTTCCATCCTTCTGAGGTAGGACCCAGACTGTGGGGGCGATATGCTGACTCTGTAAACCGCTTAGAGAGAGATGAAAGCCCTATGAAGCGGTATATAAGTCTAACTGCTATTGCTATTTGAATATCTGGGCAGAGCCCCGCAGCTATAGGAGTGAATGTGGCCGTCACAGGTCTGCTGCCCACCGCCCCAAACTGAACATCATGCAAGTTATTTTCCTGCAAGTCAGCGCCTGAGCCCCATAGCCCAGAAGTGTTTATAGGGAACAGGGGACTGAATGGACCAGGGGTCTGCTCTAGGCGAATAGGGGAGGGCTGGACAGACTTGTTGCCACCTGCCTGGGATACCTGGTCCCCTTTGGAGGAGGAAGAGGAATGCCTGAGAGGTGCCTTGGGGTCTGTCTGCCTCCGTGTCAGACCTTTTCTTTCCCTTATGATTAGAACCAGCCTGGGAGGGGGGGCGGTGGAAGCCTCCACTGCAATCAAGAGCCCTTGAGCAGAGCTAGCCATGCCCGGACTCATAGGCCCCTCAGTGCTTGGGACTGAAGCAGCAGCCTCCGCCATCTTAGAAAAGTCTGAGTCAAACAAAATGGTGGTTCGTGCCCTTTTCAAACAGTTTCTGGGACAGATGGCAGCAGAGAGAAGGAATCGGCTGATTGGAGCGCTCACTTGCCTGTCCCTCACAGCGCGTTACCTCCTTGCAACTCTGAGGCCTCTCCAGGTGCTCCAGCAGCACTGACAACAAAGCCCAATTCCACCAAATCAAGGGCTGGTGCTAGTGTCCGCGTGGCTCCACAAACAGCGCTCCGGCAGTTTCCAAAGCGGGGTGGCAGAGATCTGACAGCCGTGCCTGCCTCTACTCGCTCCGGCCACAGTTCAGTTCAGAAACGGCGCAGTGGCAATTTGACAGCCATGCCACTCACAGCCGCACCTCTCAGGAAGATAGCGATTGGGAAGAGCTCCAGCGGCCACAGGAATGAACGCCGCTGCCGCTGCGCAGCAAGCCACCCCTTGCGCAGCACTTCAAAGGCCTCAGTGCTGAAGCTGTCAACGTCCTCTCTGAGGAGAGCCATGGCAACGCTGCAATTAACTCTCACGACGGAGATAAGGGGGGGGTCTGGGGCACACTTAGTGACCCTTCAAAAAGTGCTGCACTCTCTCCCGCTCTGTCAATGCCTTCAGGGCAAGCAAAGGCCTCATAGGGCAAGCTATGGGCCTCAGCCCTCTCGCTCCAGCCCTCAATGACAGGTCAGCCTACAGATGCTAGTCTCAACAGTCAAGATAGAAACAAAATATAGCTAATTCTGCCAAATACACAGAAAAACAATATCTTCAGGAGATATGCGATGACATATGCGATGACATCCCTGAAGTGGACTGAGTCGAAAAGCTGGGTAAGGCTAGCAATAAGGGCCATGTCTTAACTAACTTTAATCAGACTCAGTCCAATCAGAAGGCGGACAATGTCAACCCATGCATGGATGCTATCTCCACCTCTTTTGAGAAGCAGACAATGTAATTCAAACAATCAATAAACTAATGGTTGTAAGTCGAGGACTACGTGTAATGTGAAACGACATTCATAAGGTAATTCAATCATGTTGCTGCAAGTTTAAGGGAAGATAGACTATGCATTCCGATAGGTACAAGTAGTCCTTGACCTACAACAGTTCAATTAATGACCATTTGAAGTTACAACAACATTGAAAAAAGTGACATGACCATTTTTCTTGCTTTTGTCTGTTGCAGCATCCCCATGTTCACATGATCAAAATTTGGACAACTTGACAACTGATTGATATTTACGACAGTTGCAGTGTCTCAGGGTTGTGGGATCACTTTTTGTGACCTTCTGAGGAGCAAAGTCAACAGGGACGTCAAATTCACTTACTAACTTAACAACTGCAGTGTTTCACTTAACAACCGGGTCAAGAAAGATTGTAAAATGGAGGAAACTCACTTAACTGTCTTGCTTAGCAACAGAAATTTTGGGCTCAATTGTGGTCATCAGTCGAGGGCAACCTGTAATGCCTTGAGCACTATCCAAGAAATATATGTGTCTGTTAGCCTCTCTTGCTCTAGTCTTTCTTATGTGTCCATGCAGATATCTCAGGAGAGAAGAATAAGACCTCTGCAAAGTACAACACCAATGAAGCTCTGTATAATTGACTGGCTATTTGATGATAGTCTGGCAGACCTGTCTCTGGAGAGGACAAATAGCTTTCACCCTCCACAATGGCAACACTCCTTTTTTCCTTGTGCCTAAACCAGATATTCCAAAGCTAAGTTCTTTTGAGATTTTTGCAGTCCACCAAAGGATATCATTTAATCAAGAGAAAGTACAAAATATGACTAGGAATTAGATTTAGAGGCAGATTTCTTACTAGAAATATCATTGATAAACCCTACAAGTTTCAAGTGGTACATATCATCAGCCTCCATACACTTAGGACAAAATAATTTAAGAAACATCTACTCTAGTGCCTTCTGATTGTGTCTTATACTTTCTAGAACCCTGATGTAACAAGAGAAATCTGGACATAGAAACAGGCTTCCACTAACACACCAAGAGAAAGTTATCATAATGTTCATTTGAACTCACTTAACCTCTTGGCTTGAACTGGAGAAACCTCACCCATAACTGTGCTAAATGTTTCTCTAGATTCTAGGCCTTATATTAGTTTTCTCTTCTTCTTTTTTTCGGAACGCTAATGCCTTTCTTGCCTTTGGTAACTCATTATTCCTGTAAGCAGGGCCTCAAGGACAAGTTATCAGTTGTGCTGTCCACCAGAGGGGCAGTTTTTAGGACACTCTACAAGGCAATTTTAACACATAATGGAAAAATAAGGCTATGTCACGTTTTCTGAATTTTCTCCGGTATATTCTTCCAGATGGATTCCCTTTTAGTCTTATTTGTTGAATCTTAAGAAGGGTATCTTAACATGCATGCAACTTGTCACAAATAAAGAGAAAATAAGTTCCATTGTACTATTACTCACTGGGTGTGGGGATAACATTTGGAAGCCAATATGCAACCATATGATTGGAATGGTTAGCATTCTTGAGATATTTTGATAGGCATGTCCCAAGGAACCAGTCCTTAGATCCTTCACATCAACACGGCCACCATTCTATATGCAAGCTTGTCACTAATTTGTGCATCAACAGAAATAACTCTTAGCCCATCTTGCAACAATTTCAATTAAATGCAGCCTCCAGAAAGGAGTTTGAGTGTTTAGCTCTTCAAAGCAGTTTTGTTTAGTTAGTACAGCAATGACTTGCTCAGTTTGACAATTATTCACAGTACTGCATGCTTCTCTGGGATGATGACAGATGAATTCATTTTAACAATTCATGGGATTTACTTGAGAGCTTCCATGGAGAGGCAATTGGAATGGGATCATGGAGAATTCAACAGCTCTGCTAGCAAGTCCACCCAGCAAAGACAGCCCAACAGGTTTAAGAGGACCTAAAAGAAAGGAAGACTCCATGATAACTTAATTTGCAATATCTTCACATTACAAATCTGGCAGGAAAAAGTTGAAATGATACAAATTGAGAATAATGTATTTATAATTTTAATTAAGAATAATGTTTAATTGAGAATAATGTATTTATAACTTCTGTTCAATGCTGGTTTTTCTTAAAGAAATGTAGGTTGCAATTTAGCAGAGTCCCAACCTTTTCAAATCCAGAGGTTTTAATCAGTAATTTAAGCATGTTTTTATTTCGCCTACTGACATCAATGGCAAAACCTGTCTAGATGGCCAAAACTCTCTTTTTTTCATTGGACATATTTATAAAAGTGTAAGATGATGCCAAGAATAATTGTTACTTGCTTATTAAGTAAGGTGCATGAATATATAGTACAATTCATCTTAAATCACAGTGAATTTAAATAAAAAGTCTAAATAGTTTGCTTTGTGTTCTGAGTGAACAATGTTGTATGAGGAGGAATATATAAAAAAGGGAAGCTATAGAGGGTAACTAATGAAAATGCCTAGAATCAAGCAAAGTTATAACCAGAAGCCAATACATGTTTGTCAAAAACAAATCATATCAAACAAATCTTATTTCATTCTTTGACTAAGTTGTCTAAATCAGTGGGCCAGCAAAATGCAGTGGACATTATACACTTGAATTTCAGTAAGGCATTTGACAAAGTAGACCACAAACTATTTGTTGATAAGCTAGAAAAATGTGGGATAGGCAGCTTCACCACCAGATGGATTTGTAACTGTTTGACAAACTTCGCTCAATGTGTAATCCTTAATGCAACTACATCTACATGGAGGAAGTAAGCAGTGAGGGACCCCAATGTTCTGATTTAGGCCCAGTACCCTTCAACATTTTCATAAATGATTTAGATGAGGGAATAGAAGGGGAACTCATCAAATTTGCAGACGACACTTAACTGAAAGGAATAGCCAACAGCCCAGAAGATAGACTAAAGATAAATCCAGATGGATCTTGACACACTTGAACACTGGGCCATATCTAACAACATACCATCTTCTTGGTAAGCTAGAAAAAACTGGGATAGATAGCATCACCATCAGATAGATTTGTAATCATACTCAATGAGTAATTGTCAACTGTACTACGTCTACATGGAGGGAAGTAAGCAGTGGGGTACCACAAGGTTCCGTCTCAGGTCCAGTTCTCTTCAATATCTTCATAAATGATTTAGAAGAGGAAATAGAAGGGGAACTTATCAAATTTGCAGATGATACTAGGGTGGGAAAAACCAGGCTTAATAGCCATAACTGTGAGAGGGATCTTGGAGTCTTAGTGGACAACCAATTAAACATGAGCCAACAATGTGCACTGGCAGCCAAAAAAGCTAATGCAATCCTAAATTGCATTAACAGAGGGATTCAATCAAGTTCATGTGAGCTGCTAATACTACTCTATAAAGCCTTAGAGCCTATTGCATCCAGTTTTGGTCACCACACTATAAAAAAGATGTTGAGACTCTAGAAAAAGTGCAGAGAAGAGGATGATTAGGGGACTGGAGGTTATGAAGGATGGTTACAGGCTAGTCTAGTGAAGAGAAGGACCAAGAGAGACATGATAGCAGTGATCCAGTATTTGAGGGGCTGTTACAGAGAGGAGAGGGGTGTCAAGCTATTTTTTCAAAGCACCTGAAGGCCAGACAAAGAATAATGGATGGAAACTGATCAAGAAGAGATTCAACCTAGAAATAAGCAAAACTTTTTATGTGAGAACAATCAATCAATTGCCTTCAGAAGTTGTGGGAGCTTCGTGTCTGGAAGCTTTCAAAAAGAGACTGGATTGCCATCTGTCAGAAAATGTGTCACTGACTGTCGCACTTTCAAGGGCGCCAGAGGGCAGCACCCAACCCCGGACTTCCTTCGCTTCCAGGAAGCTGTGGGCTGGGCCATAAGGGAAAGCACCTCTGGGGTCGTCGGAGAGCAAAGCCGGCTGTCACTCAACACACTGCCCAGCTTGTTCGCCCGCCTGGCTTTCCCGCCTCCTTACCAGGCCCAGGAAAATGGTGCAAAGAGCAGCCAAAATGCACCACTTCAGTGCCCGCTGGGAAGCCACCACTGCCACCACCAGCTTTCTCGTGTCAAGGCCGCCACCTGCCTGGCTTCTTCGCCTGCTGCCACTGCCCACCTTTATGACAGGCTGAAGGGTGAGCGGCGCCGAGCTTCCAGGCAGCGACTCTCCGGTGGCCGCATCCTCCCCAGCGTCCCCAAGGGCTCCTGCTTCTTCTCGCACTCCCTCCTCTTCTTCCAACCGGGCAAAGTGGACCTGCTTCTTCGCCCCCATCCCCACATGTCTACTACACCCAAGGGCCGCCGCTGCAGAGCTGGGCAGGCGACACGTGACCGACTAATCCTGCAGCCAGTGGCATCTTGGCGGGCGAAAGGAGCGCCTTAAGACCACACTTCCCAGAAAGCACCAGAAACCAACTGTTTACGGTGCGGAGGCTGTCACTGCAAAACGCCTCCCTTTCCACACTGAGGTTGGAGAATGCTCCCGTTGGCTAGCATCAGGTGAATTAATTCCCCTTTCCAGTTATTGACTCTAGGCCCTAGAAGTCTTAGGCGACCCGTATGAAAGGGTCGTTCAACGTCCAAAGGGTTTGCGATCCCCAGGTTGAGAACCGCTGCCTTAGAATATTGCATCCAGTTTTGGTCACCATATTATATAAAAAAATGTTGTGACTGGAAAGTGTGCAGAAAAAGAGCATCAAAGATGATTATGGGGTTGGAAGCTAAAACATATGAAGACCAGGTTGCAGGAATTGGGTATGTCTAGTCCAGTGAAAAGAAGGACTAGGGGTGATATGATATCAGTGTTCCAATATATAGTGGGCTGCCACAAATTAGACAGGATCAATCTATTTTCCAAAGCATCAGAAGACAAGACAAGGAGAAATAGATGGAAACAAATCAGCAGGTCAGTTTTCTTTGTATAAATGAAAAAGGTATCTTTGAAAAAGTAATTAGATGGGAAAGAGAACTCCAAGGCCCCAAGCAATTTACACTGCTTACACAGTGATATAATGAGTATTATTATCAGGTATCTTTTGAAAGTGTATCATGAGGCAGGATTTTTTTAAAAAATAAGTTACATTAACAGAGAGAAAAGTATTACAATAAGGGGGGCAGACATGTCCTGAGTAGTAAGAGATTATATACAATCAATGATAAACTGAATTAAATGATGGGTCAAATTGACATATGTCTCTAGTTCTTCCTATTCAACTTCCTGCTGACTGCAATTATCAAATATGAATTGGGGTAAACTGATCAGTATCAGATTTCAACTTCACTTTTTCAGAACATCTGAAACATCAAATAGATTACACTACTGCCCAGAAAATGAATATCTAGGATCTTCAAATGCTGAAAAGCTTCAGTCCTAAATACAGTAATGTAGAATAAATCCCTCTGAATTCAGTGATATATATTTATTTTTATTTCCTATTTCTAAACCACGCATCTCCCTGGATTAAACTTAATACTTAAACAATTTCCTTAATATTTATGTAGTCAGTACAATTTTATCTATGCCCACTTTATATAAAGTACAGATACATGAAGCTAAGGCTGTTTTATTGTCATGGAATGCAGCATGAGCAGAAGAAAACGAGGGAAAGAAAATGAAATGTATCCAACAGGGAGACTCATTTTTGGTGAAGGGAAACAAAACAAGGAAGAATGAATGTCTTCTAACCTATTTAACCAAACATAATAAGGAGCTATACAGACAGATCTCTTGCTGTAATCTTGGTACAATTGCTGTCAAACTGAATCATGATCTTGACCTAGATTAGTTTCTCTCCGCATCTTCATCAACTACCTCCATAAAAAAGGGTATTGACTTGACTCTATTGAGAAAATGAGTGTTGCCAATCAAAATAAAGACTTGAGTTCATTTATAATCAGTTCCATGTGAATCTGGATTAGAAGTTTTGAAAGCCCAACTAGAGCAAATGGACACAACCAACTAAAAGAATCAAGGTATTATATTTGCCTCTAGGTTTACTAGGAACAATTATTCTGGCCAGATTTACTGATCTGAATATGGCAGTGCCATTTACAGAAATGAAGATACATTTTAGACCGTCTCAGCCATGGCTAAATAAATGGGTATAAATTACTAGTGTAGAAATGGGGAGACTCTCCCCAATGGAATCTTAATGTGAAGGTCAGAAGGAGCTCTAAAAAGAACTCTGAAATTTATTTATGCCATTAGGTCTTGGCAGAAAATCCAAAAGAATGATTTGCAATTTGTGTTTACATTTTTTCTTGTAAATATAGCCCTTCCTGGCAGAAAGAACCAGCAAAGACTGCGTTAAATCAACATGCCTAATTCCTCTTAGCAGACTGCATCATTTCATAAGCCTTATTAACAGCAAATGAAGGACAATTCAAATGTCATTAGTACTGCCAGGTTCGATTGTCCTCATTGGGGTAGAATAGTGTTCTCCACCTTGGCAATTTTAAGATATGTGGACTCCATCATGGTTGGCTGGGAAATCTGGGGTTTTAAGTCCACATATCTTTAACATTGCCAGGGTAGAGAAACTCTGGTGGAGAAGGGTGAGGAAAGCAGAGGTTCTTACCTGCCACTGAGATACTTCCAGTGGGCTCTGGGTCTTCCCTAGTTCATCAGAAACTTCCAAGGTTTTAAATTTTTTTAGTAAAAGTTTGGTCCCTTGTGCATATACACCTAGGTGTGACACATCAGTATCCTTAATGTTTCACACCTCTTATGTGTGGAATCTGATAGGAGCCACTGGACCATGGAAGAGCAATGTGAGTAGAGCCAAGGTGGCGCAGTGGTTAAATGCAGCACTGCAGGCTACTGCTAGATCAGTAGGTCAGCGGTTCAAATCCCACCGGCTCCGGGTTTTCTCAGCCCTCCATCCTTCCG